CTAAACTATCATAAAACAGTGTCTCAGTCATCAGGCAGTGAATTCATAACCATTTCATGTAGGAACTTTCTGTGAGGGAGCTTTTAGAGGTGGACGTCTGGTTCCTATCACCACCACTGTGAACAGTTCTGACTCTGTAAGTTTATCTAGAACAGAGCGTTTCACACCAAACCACTCTGAACCACTCTGTTTACATCTCATTTTAATTATGCAGGAATTTTGAGAATGTGATGGAGTTCTCCTGTAAGTAAACTCAGATTGAGTGTAGAGGGGCTGATAAACTGTACAGTAACAGATTAGATACTGTCTTTAACTGTGAACCCACAGTGCAGCTCTATGGGGAGTGTTTCTGATAAAGTGGCCTCAGTGTGGATCCAAGCTAGGTGGACAAAATAAAGTGAACACTGAGTGTGAATGTACAGAGCCCGGCTGGTGACATCCTGTATAAACAAAGACAGTGTGTGGCCACGATTAGGTAAGGCGTGGGAACGAGATCTTAATGCGTGGCCACGACTTAGTAAGGCATGATCTCGTTCCTATGCCTTACTAATTTGTGGCCACATATTAAGATCTTGTTCCCGCGTCTTACTAAGTCATGGCCACGTGTTAAGATCTCGTTCCTATGCCTTACTAAGTTGTGGCCACGTATTAAGATCTTGTCCCCACGTCTTACTAAGTCGTGGCCATGTGTTAAGATCTCGTTCCCCCACCTTACTAAGTCGTGGCCACGTGTTAAGATCTCGCCCCCTTACTAAGTCGTGGCCACGCATTAAGATCTTGTCCCCACACCTTACTAAGTCGTGGCCACGTATTAAGATCTCGCTCCCCCACCTAAGTCGTGGCCACGTATTAAGATCTTATTCCCCCACCTTACTAAGTTGTGGCCATGTATTAAGATCTCGTTCCCACGCCTTACTAAGTCGTGGCCACACATTATTTCAGTTTATGCAGAATGTCACCATCAGGGCTCCGTATAAACGTGACTCTGTTTGGACTTTAAGCCTCTTACTTACTTTTTTTCATCGCTTTCTTTTTTTTCATCTTATTCCGTCTGCTGAAAGGAAGCAGCATTTCAGTCTCTCTCTCTCTGTCTCTCTCTCTCTGTCTCTCTCTCTCTCTCTCTCTCTGTCTCTCTCTCTCTGTCTCTCTCTCTCTCTCTCTCTCTCTCTGTCTCTCTCTGTCTCTCTCTCTCTGTCTCTCTCAGTCTCTCTCTCTCTGTCTCTCTCTCTCTGTCTCTCTCTCTCTGTCTCTCTCTGTCTCTCTCTCTCTGTCTCTCTGTCTCTCTCTCTCTGTCTCTCTCTCTCTGTCTCTCTCTCTCTCTCTCTCTCTCTCTGTCTCTCTCTGTCTCTCTCTCTCTGTCTCTCTCTGTCTCTCTCTCACAAATTACATCAAATATGCTTTATTGCTGTGGCAGGATTTGAGGCCTGTGTTGCCAAAGCTTTACAGAACATGTTAAATGAAATTATTGTTAAAAATATAAACAAATCAAAGAAGTTCATAAGGATAAATAATTAAATCAAAGCTACTATCTCTCTCTCTCTCTCTCTCTCTCTCTCTCTCTCTCTCTCTCTCTTTTACTCTTTCTCTTTATTTTTCCTTTGTTCTCTCTCTTGCTCTCTCTCATTCTGTCTTCTTTCTCTCTTTTTACTTTTTACTCTTTTATCTATCGTTATTCTCTCTCACTCTCTTTTCTTCTTGTCTTTCTCATTTCCCTCTCTTTTTCCTTTCAGCTCTTTCTCATTCTCGGTCTTATTCTTTATCTCTCTCTCTCTCTCTCTCTCTCTCTCGGGGGGTCCGCTCTCAGTGAAGTGGGTTGAATTTCCTCCATTTTGAATCTAATCTCTGCTCTGCTTCCTATGGAGCTGCTGCCCTTTGGTCTCCCTCTCTCCCCCCCCGTCCCTCTCTTCCCCCCCCAATCCTGGAAGTGTAGAGCTGTGTGTATATATATTTGCGTGTGTGTGTGTGTGTGCCGGGTTTATGCCACACTGTGGGGACCAAAATCTGTTTATACACTCACACTGTGGGGACCTGTTTATACACTCGCACTGTGGGGACCTGTTTATACACTCGCACTGTGGGGACCTGTTTATACACTCACACTGTGGGGACCTGTTTATACACTCGCACTGTGGGGACCTGTTTATACACTCGCACTGTGGGGACCTGTTTATACACTCACACTGTGGGGACCTGTTTTTTACACTCGCACTGTGGGGACCTGTTTATACACTCGCACTGTGGGGACCTGTTTATACACTCGCACTGTGGGGACCTGTGGAAGAGTCACTCTTTATGCCAAACTGGGCGAGTTTTCAGATTTCATTGTTTCTTTAAAATATAAATAAACACTTTTACTGCTCAGATAAACAGACGGCTGGAACATCTACACAGTTCCTCTTCTTTCTCTTCTTCTTCCTCTTCCTTTTCATCTTCTGCTCTGGTGTAAAGCCGCTGTGCCGATGGCTGAGGGCTGCAGCACCGGTGAGGTTTAATCAGAGCTGGTTCTGTTCGGCCTCCTGTGGTTCTGCTCTGTCTCAGCGTCTCGGCGCACAGAGAGCCAGTGTAGCGCTAAATTCCGCTCGCCGGCAAAACGAGTCCCCAGACGCGCCGCGGAGCGACAGAATAGAGCTCTTTATTAATGGAGCTGTATGTTAACGCCACTGACTCTCTCTCTCTCTCTCTCTCTCTCTCTCTCTCCCTCTTTCTGTCTCTCGCTCTCTCTCTCTCAGTCTCTCTCTCTCTCAGTCTCTCTCTCTTTCTCTCTCTCAGTCTCTCTCTCTCTCTCTCAGTCTCTCTCTCTGTCTTTCTCTCTTTCTCTCTCGCTTTCTCTCTTCCCTTTCTCTTTCTTTTTTCTCACTCTTTTCTTCCTTTTCTGTCTCTCTCTTTTTTCTCTCCCTTTTTCTCTTTTCTTTTTCTTTCTCTTTTCTTTCTCCTTTCGCTTTTTTCCCTTTTCTTTTTATTTCTTCCCTTTCTCTTCCTCTCTTTTCTCTCTTTTCCTTTTCTCTCTCTTTTCCCTTTTCTTTTTCTGTTTTCTCTCTTTGTCACTTTTCTTTCACCTTTCTCTTTTCTCTCTTCCCTCTCTCATTCTCTCTGTCTACTTTCCCTCTTTTTTCCCTCTTTTCTTGTTTTTTCTCTTTACTCTTTTCTCTTTATTCTTTTTTCTCTCTCTTTTTATCTCTTTTCTCACTTTTCTTTCTTTCTCCCTCTTTTCTCTCTTTCTTCACTCCTTTCTCTCTTCTCTCTCTTTTCTGTCACATCTCTCTCTTGCTCTCTCTTTCTCTGTAGATCTCAACCACTTAATTATGCAGAAATTCTGAATATTTGGTGTAATTCCCCTGTAATCAGAGCCTTGTCTGTATTAAAGGACGGTCCTGCAGGGCCTGAGTTCTGTGGACTGTGCGCTGAAGGTGAGAAGCAGCTGCTGGAAGCGTTTAGCGGCTCTGCAGTTACAAATTGAGTCTTTTAATTCGATCTCCAGCCCGTCCGCAGACGACGAGGGGGACGAGGATGAATGTGCGCATTGTCTCGCTCGGGCCTCCTGCGAGTTTCGGGAGGGCGGGATGCGTCTGGTTCTGATTTACGCTCGTTCTCCTGTTTAAGAGCTCTGGGTTCTTCGAGGAACGTTTGGCTGTTTTCTTTTGGCGCCCGGTGCCAGAAGCCACACGTGTCGGCGCGTTAGAGGAAGGAAGCGCCGCTGTTTAGTCTGGGCCGCTGCTTCGCCGCTTTATGGGCAGATTTGTCTCTTCCTGTGATGTTCTGACTCTCCGGGCCGAGCGTGAAGCATCATTCGTCACCGTGTTTTGATTGGCCGTGTAAAAGGACGGGATGGAAATTGCAGCAGAATGGATTAGCGTTACTGAAGCCTCTCCACCTCCTTCTCTTTCACTCCCACTCGTTCTTCTCTCCTTCTGTACCCGGCTGTCTACAGGGTGGCACAACACTGCCCCCTAATGTTGCCTTTCTTTGTCCGAAGAAGACCCCCCCATCCCCCACCCCCTGTCTCAAAGAGAGATGTTGTTATTGCTCTTTTAATGGGATCCTCAGTCTGCTTGGCATAAGTAGAGCTATGATGTCATAAAGAGGGCTACCATGGGGCTGCGATGTCATATAGGGGGTCGTTCTGCCATAAAGAGGGCTGTGATGTCATATAGGGTGTAATACAGTCAAAAAAGGGGCTTTGATGTCATGAAGGGGATTGTTTTGTCAAAGAGGTTTGTGATGTCAGAGTTTATTCATTCATAAAGAGGGCTGTGATGTCATAAAGGCGGGTTGTTCATTCATAAAGAGGGCTGTGATGTCATAAAAGGTCTGTGTTCATTCATAAAAAAAGGCTGTGATGTCATAAAGAGGGTTCCTCATTCTTAAAGAAGGCTGTGATGTCATAAAGAGGGTTCCTCATTCTTAAAGAAGGCTGTGATGTCATAAAGGGGGTTGTTCATTCATCAAAAATGCTGTGATGTCATAAAATATGCAGTTAATTTAAAAACAGGGCAGGGACGCCATAAAGAGCGAAGTTCTGTGCAGCGTCATAAAGACAAAGAGAGACGGTGGGTGATAACGATGTCATAAAGGGTGAAATGATGTCACAAAGGGGTTAGCTGTATTGTAAAAAGGGTTGTGACGTCACAAAGAGCGTAATGCTGTTGTAAAAAGGAAGCTGTGGAATCTTTTGCGTTGTTGCACAATAAATGTTTTGCTGATCATTATTGAGATATTAGACTTTTCAATATCAGCAATATGCAAATGAGCCCTCTGGCCAATCACAGTGTTCACTGTGTGCTGACCGGTGAGATGAGTTTCTGTGGGTGTTTTGATGAATCCAAACATTCATGTATTCCAGCAAATGGAGACAAATTAGTTCAGATTAATCTGTTTATAATGTATCGTAAAGCGTATCGCGATGACGATGTGCAGCATTATAATCACAATACTGATATTTTGTCCATATCGGTCCTGTCTTCTGTACTGACCATGTGTTTGTCCTGTGTTTTCTCCTGCAGGCGTCTGATGTAGGATCAGAGAAGCTGTTCAGTCCGACTGCATCTAAAGGTAAAGCTAAAGGTTTTCTTCCTTTACTCTTATTGGCTCAGCCTGAATTTCTGTAAATCACTGTTTACGTTGGGCGAATTCAGACTGGATTGCTTTCTAAGAGCTGCTACGGCAAATCGGCACGGGAAATACATCATCGCTGTCATCTCAGAATCTCATTACATTAAGGGGCAATTCCACCAATTTTCTACAATTTCTGCAAAACGAATCCGTGGAAAACTCCATTCAGAGCGGTTTGGTGTGAAATGGTTCAGATGTCTTTACAGTGGTGGTGATAGGAACCAGGGGTCGCCATGACTACAACACAAATATAGACATTTTTATTTACTATCCAGAACCACCAGTGAACCTACACGAGTCTTCTGAGTTTATATGGAATGTTGATGATGGAAAATCTGAAATAATAAGTTTTCTTTGGGGACTATTTTGCCTCACAGCGCCCTGCATGTATCCCTCCACCATGAATGGAGTTTAAGTTCTCAAAACTATCATAAAACAGTGTCTCAGTCATCAGGCAGTGAATTCATAACCATTTACTGTAGGAACTTTCTGTGAGGGAGCTTTTAGAGGTGGACGTCTGGTTCCTATCACCACCACTGTGAACAGTTCTGACTCTGTAAGTTTATCTAGAACAGAGCGTTTCACACCAAACCACTCTGTTTACATCTTAGCTGTTTAATTATGCGTGTAATTTACACTAATCGGTGGAATTCCCCTTTGTTATGACAGCTAAAACACTGATTTAGCATTGTGAGCTTGGCTCTGACTGGATTCTGAAGGCTTCTTTGGCTAATCGGAGTTTGAATGTTCTGTAGAATGTTCTGGAAATGTGTTCTGGATATAATACAGCACTGAGCTGCTGTTCAGGGAGAGTTTTTAGGGCTGAGGCTGAAGGTTTGGCTGTGTTTGGGCAGTAACAGTGCTGTACAGTGCAGCACTTCATCTACAGCTGGCTGAGTTTGCTCGTTTCTCCATGAATGGAGGGGACGGGGCCAAACCGGGGCGTTCCTGAATCATTCAGTTTAATACGTTTAGCACTTTGGAAAGGAATGGCCGTGCTGCGTCTCCGCCAGGCAGTGCAGAACAGATTCTCTGTCCGTCAAAAATGTGAGCACACTACCACACACGTGCTCCTTTTCAAATAAAGTAGGATAAAGATACGCAAAGCTTTAGTTTATCGTAAAGCAGCTCTTTGTGTACATTTATCTTCAATACTCAGCTTTATGTTCAATACAAGAATATATATTCTGTTGTGTATGAAGTGTTTTAAAAACAATTTGTACCAAAGACTTAAGTCACCTTTGAATCTGTACATGAAATGTAACATTTGACACATTGAATCCTTTCCTAAAGAATCACAGTTGAATCAAATGTAATCATAAAATTTTAGATTTGATGCCGAATTGAATCGTTTTCTAGGGAATCGAATCGACCTGTTATGAATTTTGTGATTTGGTGACGCACTGAAACGTTCTCTAAAGAGCCACAGTCAGACTGAATCATGGTGACATTTTAGATTCAATGATGTGTTGAATCTTTTCCTACAGAATCCTATTTGAACTGAAATTTCATGACACGTTGAATCTTTATCTGAAGAATCATCATTGAAATCGATGTAATTCTGGAGTTCCTAAAATTTGAGATTTGGTGAGGCATTGAATCGTTTCCTGGGGAGTCGTATTCTAATCAGTTGAACTGTAGTGAAATTTGTGATTCAGTGTGCATTGAATCTTTTCATAAAGAATCATTCATTTTTAATTTTTTTATTATGAGACATTGAAGTTTTCCTAAAGACTCATCATTGACTCAAATGGATTTGTGGTAAAATGTGAAATTTCTTGAGGCATTGAATCGTTTCCTGGGGAATCATATTTGAATCATATTGAATTGGAGTTTTCTAAAGAATCATAGTCCAATTGAATCATGGTGAAATTTCAGACCTGATGACACATTGAATAGTTTCCTAATGAATCATAGTTGAATTGAATTTGAAATTTGTTGATCCATTGAATCGTTTCCTAAAGAATCATATTTGAATCAAATGGAATTGTACTGAACTTTGAGATTTTATGATGCATCGAATCGCTTACTATACACTAAACAGTGAAATGTGTTCTGTCTGATGGTTACCTGGTGTTAATACAGCAAGACTGACACCAGAGAGATTGAGAGTGAGACTGAGAGTGAGACAGAGTGAGAGTGAAAGGAGATGAGTTTTGACTCGTTACTGTAGTCAGACCCCAAATTTCCGTCTGTGTGTTTTCCTGTTTGTGTGATTCGTTCACAGATATTAATGAGTCAGCAAGACCGAAAGAAACAAATCAGAGAGATGATTGTTGTTGTTGTTGTTGTTGTTGTTGTTGGTATTTACATAAAAAAATATTGCTAGTACATTTTCTCCGTTCCTACTTCTCCACAAAAATTAAACATATTGTGTATCATGAAAATATCTTTGAGTATTGCAATGTTATATTTTTCACCCAGCCTTAAAGGGAAATTCCACTGAATTCAGTGTGTGAGACGTAAGCAGAGTGATTCAGAGTGGTTTGGTGTGAAATGGTTCAGATGTCTTTACAGTGGTGGTGATAGGAACCAGGGGTCGCCATGACTACAACACAAATATAGACATTTTATTTACTATCCAGAAGCACCAGTGAACCTACACGAGTCTTCTGAGTTTCTATGGAATGATGATGGAAAATAGTGGAAAATCTGAAATAATAAGTTTTCTTTGGGGACTATTTTGCCTCACAGCGCCCTGCATGTATCCCTCCACCATTAATGGAGTTTAAGGCCAAAACTATCATAAAACAGCGTCTCAGTCATCAGGCAGTGAATTCATAACCATTTCATGTAGTAACTTTCTGTGAGGGAGCTTTTAGAGGTGGACGTCTGGTTCCTATCACCACCACTGTGAGCCATTTAAGTATGGTGGAAATTTTGAAAAACTAGTGGAATTCCCCTTTAGCTCATGAGACTGTGCTTATGTAAGTGAATTGTGATGTAATTTAATCATATAATCGTATCGCCCACCTGTAGTGATGAGAAAGGTAGTTGTTGTCGTTTGTTTTTGTTATGATCCCAACAAATAACAGCATGTGGGTCAAAGGTCAAACATGCAGCATCATCCTCGAAATCCGGCTAATGTGAGCGAGTACGACACAATCATCCGCTGGATTAAAGCCGGAATTACACTCCAACCCCAATCCCATCACAATCCTGACCGCTGTTCCTCAGGGAGTAGTGGGATGCTGCAGGAGAAAGCCTGAGGATTAGGATTAAGGGGGAAAGAGAGGAGAGAGGGATTATCATGCTTTGAGGAAGAGTGTCGTAAATATTGGCTTTAACAGAGAATCCGCAGATCTGTCTGCCTTAAATCTCTGAACGTGTCCAAAAGTCTGTAGACACCAGTGAAGGGTGTTAATAGTGAGTCAGTGCCTCAGTAACAGCCTCGACTCGTCGGGGAAGGCTTTACACTAGATGTTAAACATTGCTGTGAGGATTTGATTGAGCATTAGTGAGGTCAGGTACTGATGTTGGATGGTCAGTTCTGGATCACTGACTCATCCCAAAGGTACTGGATGGAGCTCCATCACTCCAGAGTTTTAGTATATGGGCGGAGCCTTATTTTAGCCACGCCCCTGCATTTTAGAGCTGGGAGTGAGGCTGCATCCCTGTCCCTCATGGCCACATGGTGAGCAGTTAGATCCCATTGTTTTGAAGTAAATGAGTCCCAAAGTCTGAAAATCAGTGTGGAACATTAAGAATCGTCATATTTTCTGCAGTTCAGCACTTTTTAGTGTTTTAATGTAAAATATGATGATTTTCTGTGTGAACAGCTGTTCAGAGCTGTGTTTGCTGAGTTTCTGAGCTCAGAATGAGCTAAAATTGTCACTGAAACAGTCACTACTGACACATTTGGTACAGTTTGGGTAGTTATGACTGTTTTGGTAGAGACAGAATGGAACGATCGATCATTAGTTTAATTAAATAATCATAATTAAGGTTTAGAGTCACTCAGAGCAAAAGGACTTTAGTCTGAAGTCCAAAACCAGTTAAAAGTCCCAGATGTGTTTCAGCTCTGACTCTGATCCAGTTTGGTATGTATGTAAATGTGTTTTTGTGACATCGCAGAAACAGTGAATTCTAAACAGGCCTATATTTAATGTATGGGCCGTATAGAGGGGGGGGGGTGAATGGTATGTTTTGAAACTTTAACATTGTTTACATCCTACTTATTTTATAAAAGTGAGAATAACTCAGTTTTCCAGGATTTTGGCCCTTTAAACACAGTTTTTTTTGTAAATGATTTTCCCTCTCGGTCCGTCAGTCGTGTATGTATGTATGTATGTATGTATGTATGTATGTGTTTGCTGCAGTAATAATATCCTCTCCGGAATGCCGCTCTCTCCGGAACGCCGCTCTCTCCAGAACGCCATGTTCCTCCAGGCTGTTTTTCCCCAGCGTTTATGTCCCATTACAGTGCTCCGGCGGGAACAATCGAAGGTGCTGCGTGCCTCAAATCACTCTGCCCTGGAGGAACCCCCACCAACCCCCCACCGCCTCCTTCACAGAATCACACTTCCGAAAGTTTGGAGTCGCTTGTCATATTAATAATTGTTGTTTTTTTAATTTATTAAACTCTTCATATATATTCTGAATATGTTGCTATAGCATGTAAACATTGTATGTCCATAAACAGCCCATTCATTTAAACTACACAGCAAAAAAGCCAGTTTTGAATTCATTGTGATGCACATTTGCATATATTCATCTATTCAGCCTACAGCAGTTTAGCCCCGCCCACTAACGCCGTTTCAGCACTAGAGTGCTTTTTGAATGAGGGCAGCCAATCAGAACAGAGCTCATTTACATATATCAACATTAAAGGCATAGTAGTGAAAACAGGCTGTTTAATTGTAAAAGATAGACAGAGGTTGGAAAAATGAACTGATTTTGGTGCTTAAAACTGCACAAACATCACCGGGAAAAGAATAAAA